GAAAAAACATGTTAACATATGTAAATTCACAAAAGTTGACTAATATAGTCAGAAATTTACAGTTTACACAGTTACAGTTTATACATATTTACATTTTATTAAAATTAATGAGCACTTTTTTTTATTTTGCCAATTATAGATCCAGTTTTTTATAATATTAAATAAATTTATAGGGCCACACTCAGTATACATCAGATAAACCATGAAAAGATCCTCAAAGTTCCCAAATTTTTTTGTTTTTGTTTAATTCTGGGACTTACAAAATCAAATAAATCTTTTAACATTCTTTTTTTTAAGAAAAAAAAAAAGAAATATACACCTTAAAGCTGTGCAAACTACCCCCTATTTTTCATTACAAGATAGCGAATTTCAGGTACGTCAGCTTGATTGCGGAAAAAACAAAAACAAATATGAATGTTTCTAAAACTAAAAAATTATTAAATTTACAAAATTTTCTAAAGTAAAAAATATTCCACATTGTTCTCTTTGGATATGACGATTTGCCCTCAAAGATACTAAGAGGCACTCCCTCAAATAAAGATCCATTAACATGCTGTTAGGCAACCTGTCAATTAGTTTTATTTTACCACATGTGACATCACTTTATGGTATGTTTTAAAAGTTTTCAATGGGTTTGAAATACTTTTGAATAAATTATCATTACTTTCTTCATTCTTAATTTTTTCTCTGAACGTAATTTAAAGTATTGTTTCTAAAAAATATCCTTTATACGTAAAGAAAATATTACGAGAGAAAATGCAAAATTGTATATAACATATTTTTAAAAGGATAAATTGGTACAGAGTTATTCAAACCTATCTCATTGTTTGTAATGCACCAATATTTCCTTATTAATGAATAAAATATCATATATAAGTCAATATCCTGATTTTCATAAAATTTTGGAGGTTGAAAAGTTGACCTTTACATCAGGATATACATCAGATTACAAATTTACATATATATTTAATACTGTTCTGCTTCACTATAACGTACATTCATCACACTTTAAATTAAAAGTATAGTGGTTACTTTCCTTTTATTGCCTGTTGAGAGCACGAAAAAAGGATGTCGTTTATAATAAAATCTGCAGGCTATAATAATATAAATTTATATTTAAAAAAAATATAATTAACAAAAATGTAAAAAGTATATTAAGAGATAACACATTTTGTACACATATTCTATTTCTAATAATAATTTGAAAAAAATTAATTAAAAAATATAGTGACATACATAAAAACATTATTAAAATACTATTTACCAATTTATTAGCCTTTAACTTAAAACTATCTCTTTCCTCTCTGATTTTCATATTTTCCTTCAACAACTCTTCTCTGACAGCTTGTAATTCAGTTTGCACTAAAAAAATAAAAATAATAATAATTAAAATAAATTGATAAACAAATAAAATAACAATAAAGATATATTTTTGAATTGCTTCATTAAATTTACTAATAAATTTTATTAGTATTATACTTAATTTGCCAATCACATGACATAATTCTTCTACACATGAACATTACTTAAAAACTACAAATGTCAAACAAGTGTAGTAATCGAAAAAAAATTAAATAATAATAATTTTAAATTATAAATATTGGTATTTTTAAAATCAGTGAAAAACCATAGCAGCCACAATTGAAAAATTTGATTTGAAAACCACAGATTTCAGACAGAATCAGAGAGATTTGGGTGTGTCAAAAAGTAATCACATTTAAAATTTTTGGGATAAAATAATAATAATAATAATAATAATAAAAATATGATGATTTTAAATGAAACTGTCATGCAAAATAAACCCTTTTTTATATTCCTTTGCTGCAAATCAAAATTCGCTATTCCCTTTCAAGATTATGTCAGATTTCCTTCGCCAATTAAAATTAACTTTATAAAACATTTCCTTAAAATAGTTAACATTAAGGATGAACACTTTTAGAGAAAATGACTAATTCAAAAGTTTGAAATTTCAGACAAATTTTTTGTATTGTCAATTTAAGGATCAGTTTCTATGGAGACTGTCACTCTATAAATCCACTTCAACAACTAGCGGACAGTAGGTTGTGTAACTCTGATGCATCTTATAGTAATACTTAAGCCATTATTCCTTTATGTAAATTTGTAATTTAAAACAATATTTCAACATTAAAAATAAATACTAAACTGAAAAGAGATCTTTTTTCAAATTCTTTTAATCAACACCTACATTATCTATTCTCTGAATTTTTTATAGCAACCTTTATTTATATAAACATGTTAGCAAAGTCTTATTCTTTAAAAAAAAAAAAAAACCCTCTTAAATTTTTATTAAAATGTACAATTTTACCTTTGAAATCTTTAAAAATAATTTAGTTTACAAAACTGGTTAGAGTTAAGAGTATATTTGATGAATATTTAGTAATCCAGGGTAAAAATGTAAAGAGTTTTTAGAAAGAAACATGACAAAAAAATTAACTCACAAAGAGTCTTTCCTTCCTCAAGAGCTTTCACTTGTAGAGACATGGCTTCAAACTCAATCTAAGAAACAAGAAATTTTTTTGTTCTAAAGAATTAATTTGAAAAGAGAAAATTAAAGATATAACATGTTTAAATTATATAAAATCATAAATATATAGTCTGTTTTATTTATTTTTTAATAAATGGGAGTAATTCTCATACATGATATTGATTCAAATAATTCACTAAAGAAGCTTTCTCTTTTTAATACTGTGCAAATCACAATAAGTAAGATTAAAATAAAAATTAGCTCATGAAAGTCGAAATAGCTGGATAATTTTATATTAATAGATAATTAATAATTGGTGTAGGAATTTTTTTTTGATATCTAGTACAATAAATTTCATGCAAGTATAATCCAAATAATAAATGCAAAAAAGCTTTAAATATAGCTTCAAGTAAATTTTTTACAATATTTAATAACCGTTGTTGAACAGCCCAATCACTTCAGAGTTTATGACTACTAATGTTCAACTCCGTAGCCTTGTAATTTTGAACCCAATCCAGAAGACAAGGGAACTTCTGGATCAAGTATTGGGAGAAATTTGTATTCGTTAAGGACTTTTAGATGGAACTATGCACTACGGAAAACAACAAAGACCTCTCACAGTTAGCCTGACAGTAAGGGGAACCCATGATCCGTCTACCACTGAGGATATTTTACATCAGCACTGTGGTCGGCGTGAGCCGGGTATCGACCAGTCATTGCTGGGATTCGAACCCGGTTCACTTCCGAGCTTCAAGTAATTGTGAAAAAGGAAAAAAAAAAAAACTATACACTCAAAACATTTGAATCCTTGAAAGTATAAAATTTAAAGTTTCTAACTATTAAAAAAAAAAATGCAATAGCTTACATCCTCCTTTTTTTCAGTATGATGTCTTGTAAAATGTGATTGTAATTCAACTTCACTACCTAGTTTCATTTTACACGCAGGGCAGTTGAAGGGTCTATCACCAGCAGTTTCATTAAAGGTTTCAGAATGTGAACTCTCATAATGATTTTGAAGTGTTTCGGCTGTTGGGAAAGCTAGGAAACAAGTAGGGCAGACAAACCCCTGGAATATATAATTAAGTTAGAACCCACATTAAAAAACAACTGAAATAAAAACAAAAATGAATTAAATCATGATAAATGCATTTATCTATATATAGAGTAAATTCTGTTTAAGGCTCACACTGTGCAAAAAAAAAAAGTTTTTCTTAAATGATAAGTGGTACATTAATATTATTAAAATTTTATTCAAATGTTGGAATTTGTCAGCCAAAGAAACAGCAGTGTTCTCCCTAAGCATTTTCAGAAGGGCAGCCTGTCAGGTCTGCCCTTTAATCAGGGATGAGAGTAGTCAGAAAGTAATTACATCTCCTCCGTGGATAAGGCAGAATTCAAAATATTTCAAATCTTGTAAAAAATAAAATAGAAAACTTGACCATTATTATAAGGACATATAACAAACATAAATAAAGGCATTTATGTAATTTTTATCACTTTTTTAATTACTTTAATTTAAAAAATTTTTTTAGTCTGTTTATACCTTTTCAGTGAGAATGATCCATATATATTAGCCAGATAAAAAAAAAAGTAATCCTGATGTTAGAAAAATTACCAATATACTAAAATAATGAATTAGTACTTAAAAAACTAATATTTAAATAGCTTAAGTACAATAAATTTGTCTACAAAGGTTTTTACATTAATTTATTAACAAATGTAATTATGTCAAACAAAGAAAATTAGTTTAAATAGACAGTTTTCTTTTATAATATATGAATAAAAACTTGACCTTTAAAAACATTTTAATATAAAACAGTCAAATCTATTGTTATTTCAAAATTTTTTGTTCTTTAATTTGCAATAAGAGTTAGTTGCTAAATAATAATGACTTTAATAGACAGGCTGACTTTAATAGGCATACTAACCTTGAATATTCCTCTTTTTTCGGACAATTTTTGATAAAATTTTCCAATTCCAACTTTTCAGCTTGCAATCTGCAATGTAAATAAGGATCTATAGATACCATTAAGATTTTACTGTCAAATCTTTATGTAACAATTTTTTTTAAAAATCTTAAGCAAGAAATATTTTGAAAGATATAGAAACATGAGGTACAAATTGACACTGGTTAGTACTTACGCTATAGAGATACTAAGATTTGCGTGAACCTTTTCTAAAAGTGTAGCATTTTCTCATATTGAATGAAGAAATAAGAAAGAAGAAGAAAAACTTCAATAGAGTTTAATATTTAAACTTAAAAGATAAAATTCAAAAATATCAAAATCAAAGGAGTATTATTTATTTTTTTAATAATTGAACTTATCATATAAGTTATTTAAACTTTTATTTTTAATTTGCAGTGTTTTTCTATATTGAATGACTGAAGTAAGAAAGAAAAAGCTTGAATTGTGTTTAATATCTAAACTTAAAAGATAAAAGTAAAAAATATCAAAATATAAGGAGCATTATTTATTATTTTAATAACTGAACTTATATAAGTTACTTAAACTTTTATTTTTAATTTCCATAATTATGTACATATGACAGATAAAACATAGATTATTGGCATATAATGTATGACATACATCTAGAATTAGTCCTATTAGTAAAACTTCTTAATATTTGGGTATATTCGCTGCACAATGAACATTCTTTTCTATTCAAAAATTTATTTTTCTTTCAGCACAAAGAAATCTGAAATTTTTATTATTTAAAATGGTAGTAACTTTAACGATGTAGATGAAATGGAAGATTATTATTAATTAATGGCTGATGAAGATTTGTGATGATGAGAATGAAAATAATTCAATGATATGCAAAAAGAAAGAACAAAAGGCAAGACAAACATTTCATGTTCTCAGGTAAGAATTTTTTTTAAATCTTTAAAGACTGTCATTTAAATCTGATCATTTTAAATCTTTTTTATGGATTGATCTTTCCTTTATTTTTAAATCAAACATTTTTAAATCTAGCATACAACAAACACTGTCAAATTTAAATTCTTTTTTTTCTGCTTTTGCAATAAGAAAAAATACAGTATTTAATTGAAACTTGCAAAACAAACAAACAAAATTAACTCCAATTGAGAGGAAGTTCCTTTCTTTTGAAATTGATCTAAAAAGCAGATCTTTAAAATTCAAATTGGAACTTCATAAAACCTCATCTGTCTTAATACTTTGAAGAACAGTAAATAAAATACTTAATGTATATCAATTTTATTGATTAAAAATTTTTGAAGAGCAATAATAAATTTTATTAAGATATACACAACCGTTTCAACTTTTGACACACAAAAAAATCTTTTTTTAAGCTATATAAATCACAAAAACTGTTGTAAAATGTTATTAGATTAGATTCTATCAAAAGCAAGAATAACTACAATATAATTTTAAAAATTAAAAAAAAAAATTGTTGAATATAATTACTTAAAGTAATAGGAACATAAAAATAAAGTTTAAATAAGCAAATTAACTATAGATCAACCTTACTTTAAATAATTATCTTGCAAATCATTACACTTTTTCTGCAAATCTTCTTTCTGAGATTCACTCTTTGGCGAGTCATTTCATTCATCAATTTTTGTACAGTGACTATTTCTTGTTTCAATACAGCTACATCATCTGCAGCAGGTCTAAATTATGGATATTATCACCAGAATATAAATTAATTATTTTAAAAATGAGAATAACTTGCAAGATTCTAATAAATTATTTAACAGCTTTTACCTTTGGTGTACTTCAATTTCCAGATCTTTAATTTTTTCCTACAAATTAAAGTTACATTTTTCAGCAATAATTAATTGAACAAAGAAACATAAAAAAATTAAATATTTATTTAAATAAATTATTCAAATATTTAATTAATTATAATACTATTTATTTAAATAAATTAAAGATATGTGATTAAAACTACATGACTTACTTTTGATAATCTTAATGCATTTTCCAATGAAATTTTATTTGCTTTTATATCATCAAACTGAAGTTTTAATGACGCCAAATCATCGGTCTAAAATAAGAAAAAACATGTTAACATATGTAAATTCATACAAATTGACTAATTTAGTCAGAAATTTAAAGTTTACACATTATTAAAATTAATAAGCATTTTCTTTTGGCAATTATGGATCAAGTTTTTTATAATATTAGATAGATTTATAGGGTATACATCAGATAAACCATGAAAAGATCCTCAAAGTTCTTACCTTTTTTTTTTGTTTAATTCTGAGACTTACAAAATCAAACAAATCTTTTAACATTCTTTTTTTCTCTTTTTTTTTTTAAAAGAAGGAAAGAATACACAGCTTAAAGCTGAGCGAACTACCCCCTATGTGTGATTACAAGATAGCGATTTTCAGGTATGTCACTTCAACAGTTGGAAAAAAAAAAAATGAAAATTTGAAATTTTTTTTTCTAAAACTAAAAAATAATTAACTTTACAAAATTTTCTAAAGTAAAAAATATTTCACATTGTTCTTTCTGGATATGATGATTTGCCCTCAAAGATACTAAGAGGCACTCCCTCAAATAAAGATCCATTAACATGCTGTTAGGCAACTGTTAATTAGTTTTATTTTACTACATGTGACATCACTTTATGTTATGTTTTAAAAGTTTTCATTGGGTTTAAAATACTTTTCTTATTCTTAATTTTTTCTCTAAATGTAATTTAAAGTATTGCTTCGAAAAAACATCCTTTACGTTTATACGTAAAGAAAATATTACGAGAGAAAATGCAAAATTGTATATAACATATCAAAAATAGATTTTAAAAGGGATAAATTGATGCAGAGTTATTCATACCTATCCCATTGTTTGCAATGCATCAATATTTTCTCATTAATGAATGAAATATCATACATAAGTCAATATCCTGATTTTCATAAAATTTTAGCAGTTGAAAAGTTGACTTTTACACCGGGATATACATCAGATTACAAATTTACATTTATATGTAATACTGTTCTGCTTCACTGTAGTGGAAATTCATTACATTTTAAATTAAAAGTATAGTGGTTACTTTTTTTTTATTGCTTGTTGAGAGCACGAAAAAAGAATGTTGTTTAAAATAAAATCTACAGGCTATAATAATATAAATTTGCATTTAAAAAAAATATAATTTACAAAAATGTAAAAAGCATATTAAGAGATTACACATTTTGTACACAGATTCTATTTCTAATAACATTATGAAAAAATAAATTAAAAAATACAGTGAAATACATAAAAACATTAAAATACTATTTACCAATTTATTAGCCTTTAACTTAAAACTATCTCTTTCTTCTCTGATTTTCATATTTTCCTTCAACAACTCTTCTCTGACAGCTTGTAATTCAGTTTGCACTAAAAAAAAAAATAATAATAATAAAAATAAATTGATAAATAAATAAAATAACAATAAAGATATATTTTTGAATTGCTTCATTACATTTATTAAATTTATTTATAAATTTTATTAGTATTATATTTAATTTGCCAATCAAATGACATAATTCTTCTACTAATTAACATTACTTAAAAACTACAAATGTCAAACAAGTGTAGTAATAGAAAAAAAAATGAAATAATAATAATAAATTTAAAATATTGGTATTTTTAAAATCATGTGAAAAACCATAGCAGCCACAATTGAAAAATTTGATTTGAAAACCACAGATTTCAGTTAGAATCAGAGATTTGGGTGTGTCAAAAAGTAATCACAATTAAAATATTTGGGATAAAATAAGAATAAAAAAAATGAGGATTTTAAATGAAACTGTCACACAAAAGAAACCCTGTTTTATATTCCTTTGCTACAAATCAAAATTTGCTATTCCATTTCAGGATTATGTAAAATTTCCTTCGGTGATTAAAATTAACTTTATAAAACATTTCCTTAAAATAGTTACATTAAGGATAAACACTTTTAGAGCAAATGACTAATTCTAAAGTTTTCAATTTCAGACTAATTTTTTGTATTGTTAATGTTAAGGATCAGTTTCTACGGAGACTGTCACTCTATGAATCCACGTCAACTAGCGGAGTGTAGGTTGTGCACCTCTGATGCATCTTACAGTAATATTTAAGTCATTATTCTTTTACATAGTTTTGTAATGCAAATCAATGTTTCAACATTAAAAATAAATATTAAACTGAAAAGAGATCTTGTTTCAATTTCTTTTCACCAACACCCACATTATCTATTCTCTGAACTTTTTATAGCAATCTTTATTTATATATAAACATGCTAGCTATGTTTTTTTTTTTTTTAAAAAAACCCTACTAAATTTTATTAAAATGTAGAATTTTACCTTTGAAATCTTTAAAAATAATTTACTTTACAAAACTGGCTAGAGTTGAGAGTATGTTTAATGAATATTTAGCAATCTAGGGTAAAAATATGAAGTTTTTAGAAAGAGACATGACAAAAAAAATTAACTCACAAAGAGTCTTTCCTTCCTCAAGAGCTTTAACTTGTAGAGACATGGCTTCAAACTCAATCTAAGAAACAAGACATTTTTTTGTTGTAAAGTAATTAATTTAAAAAGAGAAAATTAAAGATATAACATGCTTAAATTATATAAAACCATAAATATATAGTCTGTTTTATTTATTTTTTAATAAATGGGAGTAATTCTCATACATGATATTGATTCAAATAATTGACTAAAGAAGCTTTCTCTTTTTAATACTGTGCAAGATTAAAATAAAAATTAGCTCATGAAAGTCGGAATAGCTGGATAATTTTATATTAATAGATAATTAATAATTGGTGTAGATAATTAATACTTTTTTTTGATATAAAGTACAATAAATCTCATGCAAGTATAATCCAAAGAATAAAAGCAAAAAAGCTTTAAATATAGCTTCAAGTAATTTTTTTACAATATTTAATAACCGTTGTTGAACAGCCCACCCATTTCTGAGTCTACGACTACTAATGTTCAACTCCGTAGCATTGTAATTTCATACCCAATCCAGAAGACAAGGGAACTTCTGGATCAAATATTTGGAGAAATTTGTATTCATAAAGGAATTTTTGATGGAACTATGCACTACGGAAAATAATCACAATCACTACGGAACCTCCCACAGTTAGCCTGACAGTAAGGGGAACCCATGATCCATCTACCACTGAGGATATTTTACATCAGCACCGTGGTCGGCGTAAGCAGGGTATCGACCAGATATTGCTGGGATTCGAACCCGGTTCACCTCAGAGCTTCAAGTAATTGTGAAAATGGAAAAAAAAAAAAAAAAACTATACGCTCAAAACATTTGAATCCTTGAAAGTATAAAATTTTAAGTTTCTAACTGTTAAAAAAAAAGCAATAGCTTACATCCTCCTTTTTATCAGTATGATGTCTTGTAAAATGTGATTGCAATTCAACTTCACTACCTAGTTTCATTTTACACGCAGGACAGTTGAAGGGTCTATCACCAGCAGTTTCATTAAAGGTTTCAGAGTGTGAACTCTCATAATGATTTTGAAGTGTTTCGGCTGTTGGGAAAGCTAGGAAACAAGTAGGGCAGACAAACCCCTAGAATATATAACTAAGTTAGAATCCACATTAAAAAAACAACTGAAATAAAAACATAAATGAATTATATCATGATAAATGCATTTATCTACATGGGTCATTCTCACAAAAACAGTCATTTTCATGTCCCCAGTATATTTTATGTTTGTTTTACAACTTACGAAAAAAAATTTTCAGGGAAAGTGTCCTTCAGAATGCAAGCTAACAAAAGAATAAAAATAAAATTATCAATTTTTATTTTTTATTTATTTTAGGTAATTAAAATATACCAATATGTCATTCCCTCACTTGTCCCCACTGCTGATTTAAAAAAAGAAAAAAATTGTTTCTGAAATAAAAATTTTTTTTTTACAAATTCGTGTTTTTTATTTCAGAATACTGAAATATAGAATTCAGAAAATCAATTTTAAATTTAATTTCTGATAAAAATATTAACACAGCACTATTTTAAACTTTGTCCCCAGTGTTTCGCGTCATTCCCTCACAACAATGTTCTTATCACCTGCAATCTTCTTAGAATAAAAATATTTTAATAAAAACTTCAGAAGTTAACAACTGGCATCATAGAACAAAATTGCAGTATGTTTCCATCTTCAACTTAAAGAAGCTTTGCTGTGGAATAAATTTGAATGAATCAAACCAGGTAAAATTTTTTACATTTGTCATTCCCTCATGTCATTTTTTAGAGTAAAATAAAATACAACTTCATCGAGAAAGTGGATAATTATATGTTGCTTTCTTGTATGAATATAATTGTATGTGATTGACTTCAGAAATTAATTAGGCCTAACTGTTATTTTTAAATTTTATTGAATTCGTCATTCCCTCACTAGTGTATAAAGTGAGGGAATGACGCTGAAGTGAGGGAATGATTCAAGATGAGTATATTATCAAATTTTTTTTTGTTCAATCGTGCCAGCCAATTTTATTTCCCAAACCTGTAAAAACTATTAAATATATAAGACTAAATTATAATAAATATTAGATATACTTAGTATGTTATCATTTTCAAACTTTAGGTAGATGTAACTTAGATAAAAACATGTATTAAAATAAAATATCATTCCCTCACTATTAGTGTCATTCCCTCACTTTTCAAATAGTGAAAATAATTAATTTACTTATTAATTAATTTGAAAAATAAATTAAAAAATTAATAAATTAATTTAATAAAATTAATTAATTAATTATTATAAATTAATTATTATAAATTAATTAATTATAAATTAATTATTTAAAAAATTAATTAATTTAAATATTAAGTATAATTTACAGGATATATACTTTCTTTATAATGCCATTACATATTTCTATTAATATAAAAAACTTCAGAGCTTTTTATTCACTTTACTTTTTTGGGATTTTATGAACTGAAAAATGACATTTTTCGTGAGAATGATCCATATATAGAGTAAATTCTGTTTAAGGCACACACTGCGCAAAAAAAAAGTTTTACTTAAATGATAAGTGGTACATTAATATTATTAAAATTTTATTCAAATGCTGGAATTTGCCAACAAAAAAAACAGCAGTGTTCTCCCTAAGCGTTTTTCGAAGGGCAGCCTGTCAGGCCTGCCCTTTGATGCACCCTCTTTGCCGTATCGTATCAAAATAAGCTCCCAGGCTTTAAAAACACTGCCTTTTTATTCATATTCCATTTTAAAAATAATAATAATTCAGTTTTTAATTAATAATTGCACACTGGTAAAATTATCTGTGTATAGGTTTCATGCTGATCAATATTAATTTTTTTTTTTCGGGAGGTACATTAATGAATTTTTTAAGTGACTTTAAATTAAAAAAAAAAATATTTATTAATCCTCTCTCTTTCTTTTCTTTAAATAAAAAAAAAAAAATTGACATTCTTAAAAGTTTATTTTCTCATAATTTTCAGTTTAAATTTTATATAAAAAAAGCTTTCAAGCTGTTAGTCAAAAATCTTTTTTTTTTACTTTACTTTTTTCTAAAAAATATTTGGGCACAGTGATTGTCTCTTAGCATTCCTTAAATTACATTTTATAAACAAAAATTTTTTCTCAGATTTCGAAAAGGAGTGAGAATTATTTTTCAAAATATACACATAAAATAGTATAATAGGGTAATTCGAAAATTGTTGAAAGTCAAATTCAGTTATTAATTATTAATACACATTTAGATACATTTTTGCAGTGACAAGTGAGTGCACTTTTCTCTGAGAAAGCACCCTGTCCTTTTTTACTCTTAAAGAGAACTCTAGAAACAGAAAGGTATTTGAGACCTTAACAAAAGATAAGTTTCTCACAAAATGGAAGCTTTTCGGTGGTTTTGTAATTTTCAACTGTTTATGCTAAATATGTGTGTAGTTGCATGCATGGTACTCTTCAAATAAAATAATTTTTTAATTTACATATAAAGAGATTAAAAAAAAACATGGCAAATGGTCAAAATACAGCATAATAAATTTAAAAATAAATAAATAACCCTTATTCCCCTGCATGTTTTTTCAAATTGAAATGGATAAGAGGAAAGAATTTTGAAAAATTAATTTTATCGATTCCCATTAAAAACAGAGTTATTATAATTTCCTTTCTAAGTTTATCATTTTCAAGATTTCATACAATCATATTTTTATGGTGTAAAAATTACTTATCTAATGAAATTTTTCAACTAGTACTATTGTGCTCATGTTAAGCGGAAAATTGTCTAAGACCGAAATATTATTTAATTTTGACCAATTTTGTCTTAGAGAAAGTTTACCACATTATAATAATAAAAAATATGACATAGAATTTTTACCATTAAATAATTTACTAATAACTTAGAGGCATTATCCAGCTGTTAATTTTAAATGTACTAAACATTATATATTAAGCAACTCAATACATAATTACACACAAAAAAACTAGTTAAAAAAAAAACAACAGTTAAATGATTAAATGTAGATGAAGAAAAGTCTGCAAAAATGCTCAGAGAGTTAAAAAGTAACTTTCCTTATAAAACATTTATTTTTCTAAAAAAACGAAATTGTTGAACATGATATGTTATCTAATATTAATAAAATCAGCAGCAAAAAACATGTGATTCAGTATAAAGTTATCTTGTTACATTTTTTGAAATTTCTTTTTTCCATTTGTCTTCCTGAATATAAATTTGCAAGCAATTTTAAAACTAGACAAATATGTGCAAAAACTATATCTGATAGTTTACAATGAAAATACTATTAAATATACCAAATATACTATATATATATATTAAATATACCATTAAAATTCAAAAAAAACTTCGTCAAAAAATATTTTTTCAAAAAATACTTGGGGAAATATTTGGCGAACCGAATATTCGACAAACAGGTCAAATGTTCATTTCATCTCTACAAATAAGATTATGCAAGGTAACTTATGATGAACTTATAACATTATATATTTTCATAAACTTGGCTTGTACAGAATGAAAATACTAAAATAATATTTCTTTTAACTAATGTAAGAGTTATTTTCGCAAATCGTAACTTTTTCATCCATAAGCAATATTTCCTTTTAAAATAGGTAGTTATTTTCATTATATAGTGGTATGCTTTGCTTAAAATATTAAGAAGGAGTAGAAAAAATATCCATCAGACACAATTTTATTTAAATTATATTTAACAAAAAATAAAATATAGGTAAAATGTCATTACCATTGCACATTTTTAAACTTATTAAGTAAACGATGAATGATAAAAATTTTCGGTGATTCAAAGTTTAAAGTGAGGGAACTGTATGGGAAATGGAAAAAGTATTATATCTTATATCATATTTTAATGGAAAAATTATCAATATTACGATAATTATGAGAGGAAATTTTTCTAATCGTCTTAAGCAAAAGTTAACGTTTTGAGAAAATCATCTGAAAATTAATTAACATATTTTTAATAATTTAGACACAGATGTGTCTTTAAAAATCAAATTTATTCAACCAAAATAATAAAAATAAGGATTTTAATCTTAGAAATTTCATTATTTAATAAACTTAGTAACAACTAAATTTAGATTAAAGATTTTTGCTAACATCTACCTCAGTTTGAACATTTTCTTCAGAAGGTCTAGATGATAGTGATTCAGTCTAAAACAGAAAAAAAGACAACTAATTATATGTACATAAAAATATAACCATACTATTAATAATGCAAACATTTCATCTGCTTCAAAAAATTATCAAAGTGGAAAAAGTTGACATTTTTTAATTCACTAAGACTTGGCGATTGTTTTCATAGATACCCACATGAAAATCATCCCCACTGAAATAATTTACGAAATGAAATTTAAAGGATGCATTTATTAAAATAAAATGGTCATTTTAAAGCTGGTACAAAAGTCACACTAAAAAATGTCGAAGAACTAATCAGTCAGAAAAATTGCAATTTCTAATATATTTACTTGCATTTCATATTTTTATGCGGAATATTTCCGTACAGTGATCAATCATGCCAAGGCACCAAATTGATTTTAAACGGGAAAAATAAAATAAAAAAACATATAGAGGCTTGCTATTGGCGGCTACGGGTTATAGCCTTCAAATTGCTCTTTGTTGTGATGTTTTTTTAGTCTTCGTTGCCGGAAGGTACCAAGACTTGGTGATCATTCACAATACTGAAATCTTCCCTTTTTATGCAAATAGGAAAAATCATGAGGACGATTTCCGTAACGTGATTTGTGGCAGAATATTCGCCAAGTCTTGGCAACTTCCGCAAAGCAGCCTGCGAGAAACTAAAAAAATCATGGAAAGGAATAGCTCATAGCCCCACTAGGCATACATCTACACGTTTTTTTTAAAAAAATTTTCCTGTTAAAAATCAATTTAAATTTTGCGCCATGGCGATTGCAGTTGGTGTGGCAGAACACGATACAGAAATATCCCCTACATCTTATTCCAATAATGGGACTGAGAGATTCATTGAATTTATAATGTGACTCAAATTATGTACAAAAGTCGATTCAACATTATAAAAGTAACTAAAAAAAGTGTAGATAGCAATACTTATTTAAATAGCATTGCTCTAAATACTAATTTAAATAGTATTTAATATATACTAGGTGTAGAACGTTCGATATCGTTAGAAATATATATATTTAATATCAAGTTCTCATTAAGAGTTCTACAAATACTATGCTATAAAAAGTTTTTAAGTAACTATTTATGGAAGGAATTAAAATTTAATAGTCAGAATGTTGATTCAAAACATACATTTAAATTGAGGTGATATCATATGTTAATTATGAAGATTTTAATGAGTATTTAATAGATGAAAAGCTACTAAGAGTTTAATACTTACTCTTGACTGATCACCTCGTCTATTTAATATGCCACGAATATTATTCAACATTTTGGGATCTTATTGTAAAGATTCTTAAAAAAAGAATAATAGCTACACCTCCATTAAATAATTAAAGAACACGGAAGAAAAAACAAACAAATGAAAGAGATTTAAAGATAGTGAATATCTACCGCAGAACAAGCGAATGAAAATGCAGTAAGCGTAATTCTTTTCACTTCGTTTCTGTCATGCGACCAATGAGAGGTAGGAGAATATTCTGATCTTTATAGATTCATTTAGTAAACATGACAGGAAATAAATGTACTCTGATTTTAGACATAAAACATGCTTTGTTATTTTATTAAAATTCATACGTATTGTAGAAATAAACAGTTTCATTGTATTCATTGCTATAAGTCTGAATGTTTCTGGATCTTACTTGATGGCTTCTGTTTATTAAATGGACGCTTGTAAATTTGTGAATATATTTGACAGTTTTACATAGAAACATTAAGATGTGTTTTCAACACGAAGTCCCTCTGTGCCTTGCAGCGAATTTAATTTTGTCAGTGTCAATTGTACTAATTAATAAGATAGTTTATGTGAGAACTCAATTTCCAAATATTACATTAACATTCATACATTTCGTAATTACATCTTTAGGCATCAAATTATGCGAGAAATGTAATATATTCCAAGTTAAACGAGTGCCATTACTACAGATTGTGCCACTTGCCATTTCTTTTTGTGGCTTCGTTGTTTTTACAAATTTATCATTGCAATTTAATACTGTTGGAACATATCAAATACTTAAAACTTTAACCATGCCAACAATTATGCTCATTCAAACATTTTTCTATAGCAGAACATTCTGTGTTAAAATAAAACTCACTCTGGTAACGTATATGCATGCCAAATTTGTATAATCTTAAGTGCATAAGTTGTAATTGATTTTATAATGTTCAAGTAGTTCTTATTTCGTTCAATGGAAGATTTCCTCATCACCCAGTCTTGGCAACTTCCTGGCTATGGCCCATGAGAAGTTAATAAATCACAGAAGGTGATCGACATTAAGGGTATAACTTTAACATAAAATTTGCCGGTTCAAAATCCGTTTGGCACTGGGAGTTGTCCGGACAAATCACTCATATACAAATACTTCCCGTTCAATCAATCTGTCTGCACAATTTGTTGATTTAAAGGACATATATTTTAATTTTTTCTCTTAAATTCTAAAAAATGTAACTTAAAACTTTAATTGTTAATTCTGTAAATAAGTACATTTTATTGCATATACCAATAGTAGGTGCATTTTTATAAGAGTTTTAATTTATAGCAATTATTTTGTTAGTTAATTGTTTTTTTTTTTGTTAGATGAACGAAGATCCTCTGTAGGATATCAAAGATATTCCCTTATTGGTATCTATTAGCCCCAACTTCCATTGCCAAAGGATTATTCTTGCAAAAACTTTTAAAATAATATGTTTGTCTACCCAGGGGTAGGGTGCCCATGAAGTTATACCCTTTATTTCTGTCTCTTTTTGTAATAATTTAAATTATTATTTTTTTTACCATGCTACTACAGAGTTGTGACCAAGTTACGATATTTTTTCTCCTTTTGTGTATACAGAATGCAATATAGAAATGTTCTCCAAAAATCATTGAAGACATTCCTGGAAAGTATGGGTATATTTTAAATTATCAGTTTGTTTACTTACCAGAAAAATTTTCTTTTTTGCTTCTTGTGTTTTCTTCATTAAATTTGGTGCAATAATTTATACTAGAAAATATTGCAAAATTTCCATACTTTTGTTTTAAATGTCTATATTTTTATGGAAATATGTAAGTTATTCTTAATTTGGATTCTCTTTTTAATTTGGATTCTGACTGAGGAAACGCCAAAGAGTGCCAGAACAGTCTTTCAAATGAAGAATATATATATGCAGGACAACAAACTGTTTTATAGAAAAGTAGCATAAAATGAATAAAAAAAGTTAACAAATGTATTTAAAATCAAAACATACTTTATTCTGGATTTATCTTAGTATCACTTAGTATCATTTATCTTAGTTATTAATCAGTACAGAATAGTTTTCCCTAATGTTTACCTATGACAGTAAACTTTTCTTTTGTTATTTAATTACATTTAAATATAAAAATGCTATTTTCAAGATTATTTTGGTATAAACTTAAAAATAATAATAATTCAACTAAAATTGAGTTGTAAATTTGCAACAAATATGTGTTTTAAAAAATGTTATGTTCCTGCCCAGTGTTTTCATCATAGAAAAAAAATGAGTGAGAATTTCTCACCCTTTCTCAAAAACAGGGTGAGATTTCAAAAAGTTTTCTAAAAACTAAAAAAACACAAAAACTCTTGAGATTTCTAAAAACTAATCGTGAGATTTATAAAAACTAAAAAAACACAAAAACTCTTTAAAAAAATTATTTCTTTAATTATAATAAATTTTTAACGTCTTCTGTTTTTTAAAGCATTGAATATTTTTGGTGCATCATCATAGAAGATTTTGCCTTTACAAGGTATTTGTCCATCTTACATAAGTGCATAAAAAATTTGAACGTCTTACATGAAGAAACCTTACTTACGGTGAACACGTGATTGTAGAGAAATGTGCTCTGAAAGGGGTTCCGTGGTTGTGTTCTGTTGTTCGAAAAGGTTCTAAACAATACTGGTAAATAGGGAAGCTAGATAATGGGGCAGATGATGAAAATAATGAAAGATCTAGGAAGAAAAGTGAAACAGATTTTTTTCTAAATGGCGTAATTCGAAGCTTTTTCCAAAATGCAAGAAATTCGCGAATTTTGAAATTGATTTATAGAATGTGCGAATTTCTCACGGTAATAATTTTTTAATGCGAGAAAAGAAAAAATATGCGAGATTCTCGCGTTCTCGCTCTGTAGTGAAAACACTGCTGTCAAATGGTTGTTACTGAAAATACATAATACCTGGAAATAATTACAAGATAATTTGAAAGGTTTTCTTTCCCCTAGTATATTCTGATATTCCTTTCTTCATAACTAAATAATTTCCTTTTATTTTAATTAAAGAAAATTAAAAAAGTATTGAGTTTTTACAAAATTTTAATTAACAATTATATCAACTTTGATTTCAGTGTTTGTAGTTAATTATCAAAAGTCTCCATTTAGGGTGTAGATTTATTTTACATAATAAATGAATATCTATTAATATAAATTTTCAAATTTTAATAAAGCTTTTATTCTTTATATTGTAGCATTGTTTATGTGTTATAAATAATTATTGTGTGGTAAGATAAACAATCAGTTTAAATGGCCTATTGAATAAGTAGATCAAGTAGATGTCTAATTAAAATGATACTTTGTCTTTCTAAAGAACATCAATTTTACTTATATTTTATACTTCATTCACTTTCTTTATTACTATATTTCGATACATTAAAACTGAAATTAAGGTCAGACTTACAGCAATAAGCAGATGTCTTTTCTCAGTTCAGAATATATTTAGATCATCTTGTGTATCATGTACATTAAAACTGTAAATCTACTAAACAATATTAAGACCAGTTATAACCTATAGAAGTGGAAACCTAGACAACTACACAATATGTAGAAAAATTTCTTTCAACATGAAAAAAAAAAATTATGTGAAAGATATTTATACCTGTGAAGGATGACCATATTTTAAGAATCAGATCGTTACAAAAAATTGATAAATACTGTCTAAAAAAAAAGAACATTTTCTGTTATGTTAAATAAAAAAGCAAATAAACATCAATGTGTTTCTTTATTATAGTTTGTCTGCGGCAAGAACTCCCCTCTCCACAAAGTCTGAGATCGTGTGCTGCTAAGGAAACAAGAATAGCGCATTTCAGGGAGGGTAGCTTCTCTTCACTCTAGGGCAAACAAAATAGACTAAAGAAAGAAATTCCCTTTCTCTCGCTGTTCTGAGCCAAGACCTACCCTAAACAATGACCCCTGAAATAGTTATACCTTGTTACCATAGTCACCACCACAGGTCCAGAGGGATGACTACGGTAGTTCTTACTTTAGACAAACTATAGTTCAAATATCTTAAGTTTTTGAGAGTAACCTTCAATTTAGTTAAATTATGACTGTTTCAATATATTTTTTATTTATTACCACATGCTAGTTTATTCAAGAATTTTTTTCTTCTTTGCTACATAAAAAATGATCAAAAATTTTAAGAATGCACAAATTTTACTTTTTAAAAATATTTTGAAGTTATTGTAATTTAAATAAATAAAAAAAACAATAAATCTGTTCCTAAAAATTCTGTGATCTCTTGTTATCTCCCTTGTGAAATGAATCCAATTAATTAACAGCCTTTATGCTTTAAGTTCGATTAATTAGAATTCTACTGTAAATATGTTTAGATTGTATTATTTTACATGTTTATTACAATATTGTAATGGTATTTGGTTAAATATATATATATATATACAAGTTTAAAAGTTTTTCTTAATTTTTAAAGTTTTTTTTTCTTCTCTTTGTCCTTTTTTGTATTTATTTATTATGCTATATATATTAAACATAACTCTCTGCGATTGATTTTTAGGTGCCAATATCGTTAGGTGTATTTTTGAATTCTGCTTATGACATTAAATTCAATGTGGCAGGAACAGTTTATGCTTTAATTGGTGTTATGGTGACTTCATTTTATCAAGTGGTAAGCTTAGAAATCTTTCTTATTTTTATTTAAATATTTAATTTTTTTTCTTTTTTATATTTTAAATTATTAACTTTTGCAATGTTTATGACATTTAACTTGTTTATTTTTTATGAAATGGTTATTGATGAATTGATAATAAGAATTCAAACTAAATGGAGTTATAAGAATCTAGTTTGGTCTGTGACTTGATACTCTATACCTATAATAAAATGAAGAATTTGTGTGTCTGTTGTTTGTATACCGGATTACGAGTAAATGGTAGAATCTAAGAATATTAAAATCAACATGAAGCTAAATGAGTATAATAAACAAATGATGAAGCCCGATTTTTGATTTTTAATTAGATTGGATTGAAGAAAAGCAAAAAGGATTTCACATAATTTGTTAAAATAAATTAACTTATTGAAAAGATATTGTCTCAACTAACTGTGAAAATTAGTTTTTCCTAGATTCATAAAATTGATAATCTGTATTTAAACATGTTTTAAAAAAACAACGGAAAATGGAATCAAGTCAAAAAATTAGTAGTAATGCACAAACATTTGTATGAAATTATTTCATTATAAGTTTTGTGCCAAAAAAATGCAACAATTATTAACTATGAATACGGAAAAAAATTGAAAAAAAAAATCTTTGTTAAAGCAAAAGTGAGACTTATTCTTTAAAATTTCTCAACTGGGAGCTAGAACTATCTGTTAACATGAAAGCTCAACATAACTTATTATTGTTTGTTTTGTGCGTCATTGATAAAATTTAATTTGATACTCGGTAGATTTTTCAACCATAATTGTTCTCGATTTGATCTAGCTAGTTAACAGTTTTAATAAATTAACTATAATTCTTATAGGAGATTATCTAAAATAAAAAATATGTGCTTTGTTTTATGTATTAATTTGAAGTTATGAACTTATATTAAAAATTTAGCTATGTCTTTTTTTTTCTTCCTTTATTAGTGGGTTGGAGAAAAGCAAAGAGAATTTCAAATGAATTCAATGCAGTTGTTGTATTATCAGGCTCCTCTTTCTTCACTTTTGTTATTATTTTGTGTGCCAATGATAGAACCACCTTGGGCTCAGGATGGGCTATTCAACCATAACTGGTCTTTATATGATTTAGTAAGTTTGTAAATATTTTTTTATTTAAAGATCTTGAATATTTCATACATCATTTTAGAAATATTTGCAATTTTTTTTATATTTAAGTTTATAAATGAAAACATTTTAAAATAAGTTTGTTTTACGAAGAAATGTCTCAACTGCTGTAATGCTGTAAAGTAGTATAGAGTGTTTTTATTCTTGTGTATTTTATATTTTGTATTGTATTCTCTTCCTGGACTTTGTCAAAACCTTTGGTACAGAGAGAGCAATTTTAGACTTTTGTCATGCTCTCTCGATAGAATAGGCTTTGCTTTTATGACTTCCGGAGTTGGGGTCAGCTTCGGTTGTCATATTTATAAATTTTTTTTTATATTTCATTGTTTCTTTTGTGGTATAGAGGGATTTATTAATATTTCTTTTTTAAAAGAAATATTGTGGTGAGCAGTAGTAAGAAAATTAAATATAGTGATGCATATGAACTAGACTCCATTGCAAGTTAAGTAAAGACCATCGTGATATAGGATTTAAGTAATCTTCCTCAACTGCATATAGTTCCATTTTATTTCATTATCAAATCATGCAAATATGCTTTCCAAACAATATAAAAGCTTTTAAATGTTAATCATGTCAGAGAGAAATTTAATGCGCGCTATCTCCTACAATATATAACATAGAATTATTAAAGAAAAAGGTTATAGTCTCGTAGCCTTACTGGAATCCTTGACTTGGCTACATATTTCAATAAATAAGGTGAATATTTGGTCTTGGAAAAGAAACAACTATCTGACACTGCAAGAACATTGGATTTGATTGGACCACTAAAAATGGCACGTCTTATACTGACATGCTCTTAACAAATCAAATGCGAGATAAAGAATTCTTACTTTTGTTTCGCTGCAGAAGAAAATCGTCTGTAAGAAGCAATATTGATTTTACTTTCAACAGTTTCTTTAATTGTTCACAGAAAGGCATACATTTGTTACGATATTTAGATATCATTTCTATTAATTCTTATTACTTGTTAATAATGTTTTTAAAAAAAATTACTTTAAAATTTTCTTTTAAGAGTTCACAGTCAGTATTAGTAAGTACGTATCATACTTATATTTCTAAATTTTGTGTAGTGAATTAATTGCATGATCATGTAACTACTGTGTTTTAGTTACTACAATGAATATCTTTTTTCTTTGCAGACTTTAGTCTTAATTTCTGGTTTGATAGCATTTTCAGTTAATTTGTCTATTTACTGGATAATTGGCAATACCTCAGCAGTGACGTATCCTTTTTAATCAAAATTTATTTGATTTCATAAAGCTATTATTCATTTTTCTTTAAAAGGACATATTTTATGGAAATATTACTTCACTTTAATACTGTTAGAACAAATAAAAATACCTTTTTTGCACCTTTCTCAATAAGCTAATTTATGTTGTGTTAATTGAAAAAAAATATTAATGAATAATGCAAATTTGAAGAATTATGCTGCATGAATGTTTGTCTTCAATTATTTTTTACTATATTCTTGTTCTAATTTTGCTGAATTTGGCGATGAATGTAATTCCAGATTTAGGATCAAACTGTGCACACACTGTACTTATTTTATCACAAGTACAGTATACATAAGTATTTGTATAAGTTTTATCATAACAATTGTGGCTAATTTAAAAATATATTGTAATTAGAATGTTTTTCTATAGTAAGTCTTTGTTTATTTTTTGTGCAACAAACTGAGCAATATAGTTTTATTTGAAGTCTATAAGATTTTCAGCTGTTTAAGTCTTTAACATGATTACTAATTATTCAAATATTACAATAATGTTTTTTTTATTAATTTTATTATAAGACTTATTGTATTAATGATTTTAAATTTAGTTTCCTTAATTTAAGATATCAGATACAATGTGGTAGGCCAGTTAAAATTTTGTCTAACCTTACTGGGTGGATATCTTATTTTTATGGAACCAATTTTGCCAATTCAATTTCTGGGAATTCTAATTACAATGATTGGTGTTTCTCTTTATGCATATCTTAAGGTTAGTTGGTATTGTGTTCTTTAAAGTTTTTAATACAAAATTTTCAAAGTTTTTAGTTATAAACATTGTTGATTTAATTAAAATTTTCTTTTTGTACTTATATATTATGGGTATTATCTTTTAGCCTGAGTTCAGGTATTGCAATAGTATATCAGTTCTTTTTAATATGAAATGTGATGATGAAATAAATTATCTAGGAAATATAATAATATATAAATATAGTTTTCATCACTTATAACGAATTAATTGTCATCCATAACTCAGTTAATTTTTTTTACTAATTGAGAGAGGAATTATGAATGTGCATATTGATCAATAGATAAAAAAGTAGAGAATTCATATTTTAAATAGGGATCTGCTTTTGTAAAAAGGGACCCAGAAATATGGAAATTCTGGGTCTTAAAATCTGTAGTTTGCAAAGTATAGCAGATGCATTGTTTGTAATGTAACATTCTACTTAAAATATTGGAATGGAAAACTCCATCTATGTGGAAAAGGTTGACAAAAATCTATAAATGACCAAGATTTATGATAGAATTGGCGCAAATATAGTACAATAGAATTAGTGCAATAGACAAATTTTGCTCAATTTACAATAAAATTGGCACAAAAGTAATACCTTAAAATTTGACATACGTGTGCTTTAATAATATCGTGTTTAAAATATCGAAATTGGAAAAAAAAGCAACTGAAAGTATCCAAAAAATTTATTAATAACAAAGAAATCGTTAACAAATAGTCGTTATTCAGATGCTAATTTTGAGTGTCTGAATAACATTGTGTGTCCTAGGAAATTTAAAATATCAAAAAGTGTAAATTATGTAAAAATATGCGAAAAAGGTTTGAAAAATTATGTTTGCTTATGATGGAATTATCGGGAATCCAGTAGTTCAAAAAAAGATATTTGAAATTCAAAATTTGCTTTTTGTAATGACATCGTATTAAAGATATTGTAATTAAAAAAATTATGTGGAAATGAACAAAAACAGGGTTCTCTTTCTAAAATGAATTTTGCATTAATGATTTTTATAATTATTGATGATGGTATGTTTTATTGGTGGTGGTAAATAAGTTTAATTTAAAATGGGAATTTTAGTTTCAAGCATTTTTGACATATTTCTTTTATCTAATTATTTAAAATGTATATGTAAATATGATATAAGCCTGGGGAACTAAACTCTAAATAGTAATTCTTTGTTGCGTTTCTATTGCATCTTTTTTTTTTTTAACAATGCAATTTTTCCCAAGCTCTGTTAAAAATTATAAAAAATGTTGATTTATGCAATTTTTATGATTGTTGATTATTTCAATTTTTGTTTTGATATGCAAAAGTTTAATTTTTACAAGCACCGAACTTCTCTTAATGTAAAGACTATTTTTCTCCAATCTGCTCAATAAACAAATTTATTGCTCAAAAATTTAATTTTAACAAGCACCTAACTTCTTTTTGGAGAAAATAGTCTTTTTAAAAATCAATTTTTACAAAGACTGTTATGTGAATTTTTATAAAGACTGTTGATACAGGAATTTTATTACCACTTGAAAAAAGTTTCCACAAATCTGAGCAAGTTGGCATCTGTAGATGATGTTTTGACATATTTCACTGCATCTTAACAAGTATTAATTCTTTTAAAACTTTTTTAAAGAAAGCTTTTAGTCTGGACTTTTTAAAAATAACTTTCCTGTTGATTTCATGAAATTGAAGATAATGTTATGATATTGAAAAATTATGACATGGGCATTAATGGGACAATAAAATTTTTTTTTCTCCCACTTTACATTATTCCAATTTGAGAAAGGGGACTTTGTGAGTTTCCATTGTTCTACAATATGAAAATTAAGAAAAAAATAAGTTTTATATTCCACTTTTTATATCCGTTTATTAAAAACATTAAGAAAGAGCACTTATTTTTTCCTTTTAATTATTGTTCTGGTTCAATTTACATGAATATTTGTATGATTTAATTTTTTATGCAATTTATTTCATTATTCTTGTTTTTTTATTATCTCTTTTTACATATTTCTAATATTTTTGTAAATATTTTTTTCCCTGCATATAGAGTCAAGACCATAAGGCTGTTTCAAGTCTACCTTATGTTCTGAAGAAATAAAATTAAAGCTTATTTTATTAAGCTGAATAAGTACTTTTTGTGATAAGAATATTAATCTAATTTTTTAATTACTAATTTGAAAAAAAAGTTTAAATATAAGTATTATTTATAAATGCTTTGTTGTGTTTTTTATGCATTTGTTAATTTTTATAGCAATAAAACTATTTTTTCTAAAAAATGTTTTTACTTTTATTGTTATTAATATTTATAATTATTGAATCTTACAGCTCTTCAACCAGCAAAGTTTTATGTAAAATAAATTGTAGTTACTTAAATAAGGTAATATCTTCAGTATTTAATATATATTTACAGAATACAATGTACTTTTCTTTAGTATAAACTTTATTTACTACGTTATTATAGAATGTAGTTTAGTAACATACAAATTTTTAAAAACTAGCTTTTGTTTATCAGAAAATGTCATGTTTATTTAACATATAACGTTTATGAAGCAAAGTTGTTACTGTCATAAGGGAATTTGTTTAGATAGCAGTTATTTGGATGAGTTTAATGTTTTTTTTAGGTTTAGTCTTTTTTTTATTCTTTGAAGTAAATGGGTTAAACAATAGGTTGACATCCCCTATGACATGTAAACTTATTTCAAATATTTTTTTTGAAGTACTATTGACAATACTTTTAAGTAAGTATTTAGATAAGATTATTAATTTGTAAGTTACATTAATAATATAAAACTACGAGTGATTTTTGTGATATTAAATTTCATTAAAAACATTGTTTAATAAATTTCTTTAGTGTGATGTAACCTTTATCAGATTATATCATTTCTGTTTCATCATTTATGCCATTTATCTTACTGATGAAAAGTATACCAATGTGGTATTGAAAAGCATATAGGTTTTAATAAAAAATTTTACTATTTGTGCTTTTTTTAAACGTTTTTAATAAAATTTACATAATGACTAGTATATTCATCAATTAAAGAGGTTTCTAACTTTTTTTACAGTGCTTTTTGTAATTAATAATTTTAATGTTTTTATTTTGTCATTATTGCATGCATAAACTGTTAATCAGAAAAGTCTCAATTTCTGTTTTATTTTTTTTCTTCCAATTAATATTACTATTTTTTTTCCATGCAAGCCCATTCCTTTACCATAACCCGTAGCATACCCACAGCCGTAATGCAAGGCTGATTGTGCTCCGGAAAAATCTGGATTTTTCGCTAACCGTGATCCGGAAGTTTCCGGAGATCGAAGGTTCAGACGTTTCAAAAAATCATTGATCACAAAAGTCTCCGGAAGTCAAATTTTCAAAGGTGGAACTTAAAAACACAGTTTATTTTATTTGTAAATACTTTATACCAGATACTTTATAAACTTATATTCAAGATTAATATTCATTTTTTATCAGTAAATAGTTATTATAATCATAAACTCAAGAAAGAAAGACATATTTGTAAATTTCAATTACTTCTCCAGGTCGACATAGGTATGTGTAAAATTTTAAATATATTTTAAGTAAACTGTGAAATGCTGAGAAAAAGGAAAATACCTTGTTTAAATTTTTTTCTAAATTTTCGACTTTTTTTTTTTACTCAAGAAATTTTCCGGAATTTTGTCTTGGGCTCACAATCACCTCTGGTAATGTAACCACAGCCATACCGTAGCATAAGCAGTGGTAATGCCTTTTTTTATAATGACCTTCCCAAAATTCAAACCCTGTAAAGCTGAGCTTTATTCATTGTTATTTTTTTTCTGTTGTTATTTTCATATGCTAATTACTAGCTAAAATAAGAAATAAGAAAAGGTGCCAAGAAAAGAAATTAAAAAGATACCATGAGAGAAAAGGTGCCAACTATTTTTACATTATTATTTGTTATACAATAATAAAAATGTCTTATCGCGATTTTATGACAAAATGTGTACCAAATCTGGAATGAAAATTTGCCACATGAAAATTACAATTCTTTGTAGCAATTCATTTCGAATCTATGCAACTGTTTTCTTTTTAATTATTTGGGCGAAAGGTAGATTTTTGTTAAAGTTTCCAAAATTTGTTTTAGTATTATACTAAATTATTCAGAAATTTAATAAATAACTGTGCACATTGATAAGAATTTTATAAACATTTATCTTTGTAGACTATATTGTTTAACTGCCTAAAAGTTTAATTTGTAAGCAATTGTACATAAGTCTCCAATTAGTGGAAGTCTAAAATTTAGAAGTCTTTGTGATATTTTTTTTGGTCGGTTGAGCGTTTCGGCCGAAATATAGTACCACTTATGGTTTTTGAATAAATTTTAAAGAATTTACACTTTTATCTGAAATTTTGTAGCTCTGAAGAATGAATTTAATGCTATCTTAAAATTTGTTTTTGATAACCTTGTTCTGCATTGACTGATCATTTTTATAAAATAATGACAACAAAACACTGAAACTATGTCAAATAGTAAAAAAGCACTCAAATCTTGTACCTTGTTTTAAAATTGGCTTATGTTTACTTTCCAATCATTATAGAATTTCTTAAATCATGTGACTTATTTCTACTGTTGCCAAATTGTGACTTTATCAGCTTTCATTCTTTCCTATTTTTGTCAATATTTTGAAAAAAAGTCTTGGAAGAAAGTAGGTCAAACAGTTATTTTGTTTACAAACTCTAATTGTAAAATATTTGTGATAACTTAATTATGCTAGTTGAACCATTTTATTAAGTGTTCGGCATTTTTTACCTTGGTGTTTAAATTATTGTGAATGTTGTTCTATAATTGTTACTTTAATTTAAAAAACCCAACTATTCCTTGAGTAACTTTTATTGAAATGCATTTTATCCATACAACATATTACTTAAAATAAGTACTTAACATTTATTAGCTGAAAGGGACTAAAAAGTTTATAAACGACAAATGTTTTAAAAATGGAAATACAGACTTTTTTAATCACAATTCTTTATAAATTTCCAGCTTCAATCAATAAACTCTCCTCTGGCCATGGAAGTTACTTCAAATAATGTCAAATAAGGTGAGGATTTCTGAGTCTGACTATCATTTTCAAACTTACCTCGATTGCCACTTATACCAATGTAATTTTCTCGGTTCACAACATTTGGGTTTCCGTAAGACTGATTCCTGTTGAATGTTCTAATACATTTTGAAGTAATACTGGGACTTCTTCTAAACCCTGGTGACATGTTTGGCGAGGCTTTCCTTTTAATATTGAAGGAACAATTTTTTGAATATAACTGTTTGTGCATTACATTATCTTTGTTGTCATTCTGATTTATATATCTGAATGGAAAAGAATATTCACTTTGGCTGATAGATTTAGCTAAAGGAGTATGGAAAGAGTTTTGAGTGCAAAAATCGGACCTTGGAACGCCTGCACTTTGCTGAGTCTGGCGGGATGTTTTTTTCTGGTATTCATTAGAGATATTTACTACTTGTGACTTTGCAAACAATGATCTCTCAGATTGTGTGCAGTCATTGTTGTCATTTCTTTTTTTCTTTAATGAAAAAGAATTTTCATTTTGACTAATTGATTTTGCTAAAGGTGTATAAGCAGTATCTTGAGAACACACTCTCAGTCTTTCTTCTGATGGCTTTGCAGCTTGTGCTTTTGTTCTAGATCTTAAAATGCGAGATGCCGTTGGCATTTGTGGCTTTGTATACAATAAGCTATCGAATTTACTTTCATTATGTTTTGTATTTCTTTTATTACCGTTTTTCGATGGCAAAGGATTTTCTGTTTGGCTGAAGTTTCTTGCTAAAGGTGTATGGACTGAATTTTGAGTGCAAATGTTAGGCCTTTTTAGTAATGATTGATCCGATTTTTTATTTTGGGTTTCATTTATTGTTGCTGCTGGTATTTTAAAAATCATTTCATTTTGTGTATGGCTCGTTTTTGAAATATCAATCTATAAAAGAATTGAAGTTTATATAAGTCAACAAACTTTAAAGGTTAAAGCAAATATAATTTCTTATTTTGTATCAAAGTACTATTAGACCTGAATAATTCAAATTTTTTATTAATGTGTAAGATTTTATATGAAAAGAATGATGCATTATTTTACTTTTTTTTGGTTAATTTATATTTTTTGTACAATTGCCCTTATGATATTAGAGTAACAGTATTATCAGACAGAGTTTGTGGATCTAGGAGTTATTCTTTTTATTTAATTAATATTTGTTTATTTTTAACATTTTTGACTGAGTGAATATATGTTATCTGAATTTTTATCTGTTCTCTTTAATTTCAAGTTATCCAAGTTTGATTGTTTCGTTTCATGTCTTTTTTTAATGAAATTATTTATGTTAATAACTAAGAATAATGTTTTCTTAAAAAATTTGTTATTATATTGTAATAATTAAAATTTAAAATACTTTGTTTACAAAAAAATAAAGATTCATAAAGAAAATTTTTATTGTTTCAAAACAAAACAAAAAATTGAGTGCTATTTTAAAACAAATGCTTTGTTTTGCTTCATGTTGTTTTTTAATGAAATTATTAATGTAAATAATTAGGAATAATGTTTTTTTAAAAAAATTTATCTATTGTGATAATTAAAATTTAAAATACTACTTAAAAAACGTTAACAAGGGAATAAAGATTCACAAATAAAAATTTTATTGTTTCAAAGCAACAATAAAAAAATTGAATGCTATTTTAGAACAAATGATTGGTGAAAATAAATTTTTCAGATGACATAATATTAAGTAAATATTTTTTTATAAATTCTGCAGCCTAATTAATGTTACTAAAGCAATCTCTTGCTTTATGGATATTTTTTGTGGTTAAAATTGAGAAATCATAATGTCTTATTATTAGAAAAAAGAACTCTAATGTTAACCTGTTTGCAAATTCTGATACGTTATAAAAGTTCAACGACATTGTCCAATCAATCATTGTGTAAAGTAATTTATACTGATTATTTATTTCTTTATACACATTTGACATGTCTTTGAGTTAGTAAAAAAGTTGATATTATGTGACAGTATTATGCATTGTACTTACCAAGTTTTTCACAGATGCATTCAAAGCATTCATAGATTCCTTCATGTTTAATTTTATTTCCATATTTATTTCATTGTCACTTTTCACTCTTTCTAAAAGACTTTTGAATTCATTGCAGTGCTTATCTATTTTTGTATCAATTTTCCTGTAATATTGAAGCATTAAATGTAAAAAAATATGATATTGAAAGTTATCATAACTCTGCATTTATAGAAAACCACATTTAAGCTGCATACTTTTCATGATTGCTGGCCATTTCATGCACTTAAATATTTCATACAATTCGTTAATATTTTCATTTCATTATCATATATTCGGTATTTTTCAAATGAAAAAATTTTTTTTATGCAATATACCTAACTAATAGATGTACCAAATTAATTATGAATTGGAAAATAATTAATAAGTTCTGAAGCGGCTAAAATTTTATGATAAATCTGTATTCCTTCTTTTACAAAACTACAAAGAAAATATGGAAACCAGTAGTCAAATATTAATTATTTTTTTCAGAAAAGTTAATGAAAAATCAAAATTTTAGAATCAATATTTAAATTTAGTAGTTAGAGGAAAATAATGAATTGATATTTCACATTATGAATAAATATTTTTATAATCTAAAACAGATTATTTTTTTTTTCGCAAACAATTTATAAATTTTTAGAAGCTAATAAGTAATATTATGATGAAAGTAAATGGCATATAATAATAGGATTGCTGTTTCATTCTTAAATTGAAATTAAAATTTACTTCAGTATTTTTTCATTGTGAGTTTTTGTATCCTCCAGAACTTTCTTGTTCCCATTGGTTTGAGAGGTTGTAAGTTTTTTAACACTTTCCAAAATTTTGCCAGTTTTTAAGTCTTCTTTAATGAAATCTTCCAATTTGTTAAATTCTTGTTTTATTTCGTCTGTATTCTATGAAAAAATAAGATGATATATGTTACTTAATTGCAATAATTCTGCTATGGAGTATAGTTAAGAATATTTTAAAGATTTTTGGGAACATAGCAAATCGTTCATGTTGAAGTCTTATGTTTATAATATCAAAAAATTAAATTGATCAACCATGATTATTGCTATTTTGTTTTTCTGTTTTTAGTAACTTATATATTTTATACATACTAAATATATCACAGTTCTGCACAAAAAATGTAAAATAAATAATATAAAATGATAAAAATAAATAAATAAAATGATTTTTCTTTTCAATATCCATTTATTTTGTTCTCATTTTATTAAAAAATGTGTAGAAATCTTAAAATTTTACTAGTTACATATAAAACTTGGTGGTATAAAACTATTAAGTTTCTGCTTAAAAGCAAAGCTTCCACCAGTTTTACAAATCATTGCAAAATTTTCTGACATTTTGAATGGTCTATTCAAATGTGCATGTTTTTTTAAAAAAGTATTTTGATCATGAATGAATTAAAATAGCATGCAAGATACAAGTAATGAATACAAGTAATCTTGGAAATTGAATGTTTTTAATTATTATGCAAACTAAGACAAGTTTTAACTTATAAATGTTTAAAATTTTTACGTGCAGACAAATATCTATCCATATTTTTTTATTAAAATTAATCCTAAAATGTATTGTAGTAAATTCTTATTACTGGTGCTACTCATGTAGAAAAATAATTAATATTCTTTTTTCCCATCCTGAAGATGTGGAGAAAAATTTAAATTCCTAAATAATAGAATTTAATTTTGTATTTCTATTTTGCTCTTATAAAAACTATTACCTATGTAATATTTCATAGAATTTTTGAAATTTTAAAATAAATATTTTTTTGTCAATATAACATTAGTTTAATCTAATATTTTTATCATAACAAATTTTTGACATTTTAATATTTTGTACTCATAGTGTGAATGAATCAAGTGAATAAAATCTTAAAAGTAAAAACATAATAATAAATTTACTTCTTCATAAGAAATTTTCTCTTAACATAAATTAAATAAATTTGAAATTATTAATAATACACATTTTTGAAATGAAATACTCATTATTCTAATTCAACAATATTCTCATAATTTCACAAAATTATACATACCTCAGTCATATATTTTCGAAACTTCATTATACTTTCATCTTTTTTATGGCTTTTCTTATACTCTTTCTCAAGCTCAGCAATTGACTTTGCTTGATTATCTGTAGTGTATAATAAATTACTAAACATTTATTTTTCCTGTAACAATGAGTTCTAAAATGTTTTTAAACTTTGCACGTTTGATATCTCTGTCTTTGTTTGGCAATTTAAGATTTACTGTAACCAGGGTGGGCATTATTTTAACTGTTCAACCATGGTTAAAACAATGTTTTAACCATGTCAGAAACCTTTTTTTGACATAGTTTTTGACAATTATGCAATACTAAAAATTTTGGTGTAAGGATAGTTATCAGCTATTATAAATATTGAATATTTATAAATAAATATACATATTAAATTGCGATTGATGTATCAATTGCGTTCTTGAATTATTTGGACATTTTTCTTTCTTTTTTATTTGATAATTGCTGTCAAAAATCCAAATTTAGGTGGAAAAAATATTAAACATAAATATGTAAAATTGCAATTTTTCTAGAAGTAACAAGATACAGTTTCTAGTAGTTTTCAAAGTAATATATGTATATATGTATAGGTCCGTTAATTTTAATTATTGATAAAAAAATACAAAAACAATCATCTTATGGAAAAAACAATAATTATGAATTCATTATATGTAAAATCAATTTTCGTTTACTCCCATTTTAACTCGTCCTTTCTCCAAAGTATGTGATTACAAAGAAATAGTTTTGAAGCTCTCTCTACTCCAAGTTAATTTTTCAGTTTGATATTAATTGTATTTTGTATATTTTGTGATTGTAACAAAACTCAATTTAATTAAGACCGAAATTCGAAATTGTTCTTTTTATTGATGTTTAGCTGCATGGAGTAGAATGTAGAACTACTGAAATTATAGCAAAATAAAATAACATGTAGTTAGTGAATTTATTCTAAATTTGGAACCTGAAAATTTAAACATTCAGTTTATAGCCTATAAATGGTAGACTAATAACTTAGTTGTCAATTTTTTCCTCAAACCTAATAAGTCGGTGATAAATATCAATAAGTCCTTTTTTATTTAATCGCCACTTGTTCAAGCCTTTTTTTTTGTTGCTTGGATTAAAAATCATTTTAGAAATGATCTACGACTTTAAAAAAGTTTATTCAACATTAAAAATAGTATAAATATGTGAAAAAGTTTAGTTAAACATACTGACTTTAAAGAACTTTTTTCTAAAAATATCTGGGAAACTAAATATTTTTGAATGAAGTATAAGAATTGTTTAAGAACTCTCCTCCATATTTGTTTTTTTTGGAACTAATTTTTAGGTCATAAATGTAGTTCTTGAATTAATTTATTGACGCAATAGTTAGTTTTGTTATGCAACCTTTTCTGTCTCTAATTTTTTAAAGTGAGGCAAGGATATCTTTTAAATTTTAAATAATAATTCCAAATTTTTTGTTGTTGTTGCAGATTTGGAACAAAAAAAATTTAAATTTAACCTAAAGGCTTTTGCATTCTAATTCTCAGATGGGGCTGTTATTGCAAAATGAAAATGGTGTACAAATTTTTAAAATATTTCGACCAAAGAAAGTCAGACCTAAAAATAGGTATAATTTTGAAAATCCCTAATTTATGAAACCACATAGACCTTTGCTCTGTGGCGACTCTAAGAGTGCGTGGTCGAGTTTGGTGTCATGCGATAGGTATTGTCAAAATATCAAACGTGTGAGGTTACTTTATCACCTGTGAACCAAGGTTCAATAACTTGTTGGTCACATTTGTATCCCTTTTTCTGGAAAATTCAAATCTGCAATAAAAATGGAAGTCTTCTTTTTAAGACCCTTATCCTTTCCCAAAGGAGTGAGTGAGTTTTCAAAAGTGAGTGAGTTTTTATAAATTTAATTTTAGCGTTAGGGTCTGATGCTTTGAATCATTTCCGAAGTTTTTAGATGCTCTGTATTTTTTAACAATATAAATAATAGTGTTTTAATAGTTTAAAAGAAATCAACATAAGAGTCTTACTTAATGTTTCATCAAGTGACGATATTCTTTCGTTTTGTTCTGAAATTTCTGTTTTTACATCTTTGATTGAATGTTGGACTACAGATAAGTCAGAATGGATTTTTCTTATACCTCCAGCCAGGCTGCCGAGTAAATCCCTAAAAAGTTAGTAAGTTAATTAGATGTTTTATTCATTTATTTAAGAAATCATCTGCAGTCTAGAAATAAAGTGCCTCTAACTATTATGCTTTGTCCTTTTGCTTATAACTCATTAAAATGCAAATTGATTATTTAAGAGAAAGGTTTATTTTCTGAAAATAAAGAAATATATTTGTTTCCTTATTAATGCTAGAGTGAATTATTTGAAATAATAGTATCACTTAATTTGCAATTCTCTGAAATGATATGTTAATTAAATGCTTGCTTCCCCCCATTTTTTTGGAAAAAGCCTTTTTTTTAAATCCCAAAATGAAGTAGGTTATTGAAGAGATATTGTTCACTTGATTATATTCGTTAACTATATCAATTATATAGTTGTTTCCATAAATTTTATGAATTGAGAACCGTGTTGACAAGTATATGATCATAAGCATTAATATTTGCGTTTTTCCGAATTTATTTTCCTTTTCAACAAATTTAATTTCTATAAAATTTCAGATTTAAGAATATGTTATTCAAATTATTTTATTACTTTGATAGTAGCTAGACAACTGTTTGAAAATTAAATAAATTAAACTCTACTCTTCTCAATTACGAATCTTTATAAAGGTAAGATAAATCATCATCTCCAGGATACGAGGTACTGAAGAATTTTAAGAGGTTTAGAATATTATTTACAGTATTCTTGACATAAATACCTAATCTACAAAAATATTGTTACGAGCTAGTTAGCAGTGTTCAAAAAATAAGTACATTTTATGTATAGATTTTCGACCTGAAAGTATCATGTAAAAGGAAAACTTAATTTTGATTGCCTGGGTACAACTTTTAAGTTATTGAATAAGTTGGAAAAATTATGATTTTCTTAAATTATTGTTCTCTTTTAAGACCTATGTAGATAAAAAAAAGTAAAAATAAGACATCAAAACATAGGTGAAAATTATAGGACATGTTAATAGATTTTATAAAAAGCTGAGCATTTTTTTTCCTAAGAGAGGTGAGTTTTATAATGTGAAGGATGGATATATATATATATTTATCCTTCACATTATAAATGTATATATAATAACATTATAAATATACATACATTATTAAACATTAACATACATTATATCTATATATTAGTGACTGACAGGTTTTGCTTCTTTTTTATTCTATTTTTTATAGTTGCTAGTCGTTTCGCAATAATCTCTTTTTGTTTAATACCTTCATAAGAAGGCATATATTTAACATTTAATACTATAAAAAACGAAGGGATGTTCACAATGATCATTTCTTATTTATTAAAAGTGAATAGTATTTAAAAAAAAAAAAACGTTTTGATACAAGATTAACAATTCAATGCGGATCTAGAAAAATATTGGTATATTTATCATTAAAATACCTAATTCCAGTTATTTCATTTGCAGTGCTATTATCTTCAATTACGGATCTTCTATCGTTTTCATTATCATCATTGTCGAAATTTGTGAATTTTTTCCTCGTTTCTTTTTTAGCTTTTCCAAATAACAAATTTTGTGAGATGTATTTTCGGTAATCGGCATTTCCCTATTATTAAAAATAATACATAATTTTTATTTGTAAAATAAACTTGTTCATAATGCTTCAAAGGGTAGTAACAATAACAAGACTGTGAAGCTTTTTTTGAAAAGTGTAGCAAACAAACAAGGGAATCGTTGAAAATGAAAGGGATACTGGAAGAAAAAAAGGGTTTTAATGCTTTAACTTTTTCTTTTAGCTTAAACATTTGCTGTACTGTTATTATCCAACTTATTTATGAAACTTGCATTGTTAAGCTTTTTTCTGGTGTTAGAGAAAAAAATCTCTATTCAAAAAAGCATACATATATATGTGCTATAATAGAAAAGATACTGTAACTTTTGATTATTCCTAATTTTCAAAGAATATAATTTATGTTATAAGAATTCTTAAAAATTTCTGAATTATGCATGCATTTCAAAAAAGTATGGAGATCGAATGATATACAAATAAATAAAAGTGAAATGTATTGAGCACCTTTTTATGGTTACAGTAGATAGACTGCATAACAATGTTTTGCACAAATGATACTAATTTTAAAAAAAAGTATCTCTTTAAAAATATGCTCGCGAGTTTAAAAACTGTCAAAATTTAATGCACATTTTTTGACCTTGTTTATAACACTGGATGGTAAATTTTTTACTGCATTTATGCAAATACTTGATCTATAATAGCGGTGGTTCATAGGATAGAACGTTCGCCTCCCAATGTGGCGACCCAGGTTAGCGGTGGCTGGTAGGTATGAATTCGAATCCCGGCTCGCATCGTTCACAGTGCTGCCGCAAAACATCCTCAGTGGTAAACGGATCATAGGTTTGAATCCATTTTTCATCAGGCTAACCATGGGAGGTTTTCCTCTCCACGTTACGCAAATGCGGGTTAGTTCCATCAAAAAGTCTTCCTAGTTTGTCCCAATGTTTTGTTCAGAAACTCCCTTCTTTTCTGGTTTGGGTTAAAAATTACGAGGCTACGGAGTTGAGCATTGATAGTCGGAAACTCAGAATTGGGTCGGCTGTTCAACGCCGGTTTTGAAATAAAATAAAATATTTGATTTGCCTACTTTGGATATGGGGATTTCAAATCTGAAATTAATTTTACTCGGAAGCTACAGTTTTTTGATGACACTTTTAGTCTATTTTTTGTCGAAATGCACAAGTTTAAGAACCTTATATAAAACAGAGGATCGCATAAATGTTGGGACAAACTTCTAAGGGAGTTAGGGCACATCATCAGAATAAAAATTGCATAAGAACTCATTCCCGGAATTGTCGTCGTACGCGGTTAGGGGTGCTTCTCGTATTATGACTTTTTCAGAAGCACACGAAGAAACAGTTCATAATAGAGAAGTGCCTTTAGCGATGTCTGGGCATGGGTTCCAGTGAAGTTTTAATCTTAATAATGTGCCCTAATTTCCCTATAAGTATAAAAACCCCTGTTATATATAAAACTTTTTTAAGTTTGTACACTTTGATGAAAAATAGACTTAAAATGTCACAAAAAGTACTGTACTTTTAAGGGAGAAGGCGATTGCAGATGTCAGCGATACGTTAGTATCTAAGATCTGTTTTTAAAAAAAAATCTCGTGAAATTTTTTTTACCGGTGTAATTTAAAGAGTAATTAATACTGATGAAGGAAGTGTGTAGTAAGAAGGAATAATAAGTTGAGATTTAAAATCTCGTTAAAACCATTCAGATTTTTCTTTATTTGAAATTAGACAAAAAATTTAATTTTCTCTTCCTAAACATAAGTCAGTCTATATTATAGGAAAAGAAAAGACTTATAGTAAAACTTTATTATATCTCCTATTTCTTTTCAAGAGAAGCAAATTATTTACCATTAAAATTTTTTTTAATGGTAGGTATAAATCTTTGTAATATTTCTTACAAGTTATTACGTGATAGAACTGTAAATGATTCGTGATAGTCATAAATATGGCTGCCAAAAAGAAGCTAGAATTGATGCGCTAGTTTTGCTAACAGTTATTTCTCTTCTCCAACTTAGAACTCTGATAGTTTTAATGTTGTGCAAAGCCCCTGCAACTGTCGGTAGGTTCATTCGCCGTCATTTTGGTTTGACACATCCAATGAATGGAGTTTTCATCCGTTAATTATCATCATTTGTTAGTATTAAATCTGGTATTTCAGTATTAAATATCGAACACTTCATGCATTTTTATTTTTGGACAGTTAATATTAAAGCATATTCAAAATTAACATGTTCTCAAAATTTCAAAGATATAAATTGCAAAATCTCACTTTTAGCTACATAACTTATGGTACGCGTTTAACTTTCCTGGGTTATCATACCTGTATCTTTTGTTTTGTGAGGTATGCACTGAGCTTCATTTTGGTCTCATGTTGTTTGAGAAAACACCATAAATACTTTTCAACATCAACGAAAATAATAACAAAATAAAACAAAAATTTCATTTTTGATTTTCCTTTCCTTTTAATAAATGTAATTGTGTTTATATATAATAATAAAATATTACTTCATCTCCAGTATTTGTTTTCTGAGATTGGGTGAAAATATCATAGGAATTATTAGAGTCAAGTAAATCTTTTGCATTTCTGTTTTGACTGCAATTGCTTGAGTTAAAGCCAGATTCACCACTTGTTCTCAATCCCCCATTGTTTCCTAAGAAATGATCCCTGCAAAATACCATTGAAAAATTTAGTTTGATTAAAAAAACGAAATTGTAATTCAGAATTAGAAAAGTATTTGAATAATTTAATTGCTTATGAAACCACATTGAAGCCCACACTCTGGGTTAGAACAAAAAACTGAAATACGAACTAGACGCTGATACTTACACTGGATTGCTGAAAAAAAGATCTCTAGAATTTACTTGGCTTGAAAACATTTTTCTTACTAAACTAATATCTGGTTAATTTCCAGAAACTTTTTGATCTTTCATAAGCATAACTCCTGTAAGACAAAATTCTAAATGTTCCAACAGAATAAAGTAAATTTGATGAAAAGATTAATTATTTTTACATTTTTTGTGATGTCAGTTTAAAACTGAATAATGGACAGTGCGCAAAATAAAAAAGATGGACCACCATGGATAACGTTTGATTTAATGATCGGATCTTTACGTTTTAGGATTCAATCTCAATGGTTCAAGGATGTGACCTCAAATTTGCTAATTATTTTGTGCAGATGATATTTTTAAGTTACGAAATTAGACACAAAAACGAAACATACTCTCTGAAAAAACATACCCTTTTTTTCGACGGATTTGGATTTTAAACCCTCAAAATGTAGGGAGTAGCCGCAATTCTGAAAACTTGGTCCCAATAATTTTATTTTTTGCGTATTTCGCCATATCTCAAAAACTTCCTAAGAAACCTGAAAAATTGTCGCACTCAATTATCCAAATATAATCCTATGCAAAAAGTAGCTTTTAGTTAATATTTATTATTTTTTATTATTTAATTTAATAAAAGTCGGTAAAATTTTAAATTGTAAGGTGTGCAAATTTTTACATCATTTTAAAGAATGCAATTTTACATGGCGAAATACAAAATTTATTACGAAGTCGGTCGAATAGTTCCTAAAGAAGTTTTTAAAAAAGTCATATTTTTACATATTATAACTTTACATAAGCGCAAATAGTACAATACGTAGAAAGTAAAATTAACATTAAAGGATCCGAACTTTAAACCCATCTCCTGAACAAACTAATTCTCTATGTTTTCGGGGTCAGAAACCCATATTCGTCGAAAAAAGGGTGTGTTTATTCAGAGAAAGTGCGTTTTTGTGTCTAATTTCGCAACTTAAAATATCGTCTGCACAAATTAATTAGCATGTTTGAGGTCACCGCTTTGAACCACTATGATTGGGTCTTAAAACATAAAGATCCGATAATTAGATCAAAAGTTATGCAGGGTGGCCAGTTTTTTGTTTTGCGCACAGTTCTTACAGATTTGTGTATTTTGGATTTGAAAATTATTTTTGCATTAAATATTAATAAAATTTGTAATATTAATTCTAAACATACTAAATTATTATTTAACATTCTTATTGTGCTAAATGAAAAATAAACGTTAGTTATTTTTAGACCCAATATTTGCGAAATTTCAAGAAACTGTGTTCTCGAACTTAATCATAAATTTAATCTATTCATCTTTGTAAGAGTTGTATTTTCTCATTTTGATAATTACTTAAATCTCTCAGATTCGCTTTTATTTTGTTCCTTAAATTGTTAATTTTTTTTCTTCCCTTTAACTTTTAAAGTTTTGTAATTCTTGGACAATATTAGTTAGTTAAAATTATAAATAATACTATCTTTTTTAATTAATAATAATGAATTAATATTAGTTAATTAATACATTAATTAATGATATTAATAAAAATTAATTAATATAATTAAAATGCATATTTCGAGTATTTTTTTCTTTTTCACCGACTGAATAAAAATAACACCATATAACAAAGTGCATAATGAAAATACTTAATTTTACTATAAATACATATCTTCGAAGAACATTGACAATTTATAATAAAGTAAAAAACACAAACAACTTTAAAGAACACTGCTATTTTAAAATTTAATGCTCTTTAAAAATTTTTGAATTATGTTTTATGTTATAAAGATAACCTTATTTTAGACATTATAATTGCTTTGAAAAATTCTTTTATTTTTTCTGTAAATATCGTTGAAAATTATGTATGCTTTCCTTTCTTAAAATAAGTATGCATATTTAACGAAATTAATTATCAAAGTAATTCATCAACAATTCGTAAAATAAATGAATTTTTATGATCGTAAAAAATAGTACAGAACAGTTTTATGTAATCCGTTTAATCTTGTATTTTAAGAATTCGTGATGAACTTTTCACATTTTTCTAGACATATAATGGTCCGTAATTATTGTTATATTGTTATGCTAAACTTAATCTATATGCTATGAAAATTGTAACATCTAGACATTTAAAGTTATAAATTAATGTCTTTACAATATTAATTTTTTGGTAAATATATTATTTATTCCATAGATAATAATGAATAAACTGCATTACAGAAACCAAAACATTAATTATCAAACCAATATAAATGTTAAAAAACATCATAAATAAAATCTTACATCTATTGAATACACGTAATCTGTACAGATATATGTATTTATGACACTATATAATTTCACGGAAAGGAACTAAAAGCATTTGTAGTAAACAAGAAATTTTAGTGAGCTTATAAATTATGACATAAAAAGAACACAATGTTCAAAAAATCGTCTGTTTCAGTTCATTTAATGAAATATAAGTTTGAAAGTATTATTTCTTCAGACGATTTAATTAATTATTTTTATTCATAACTTATAAAAAACGTAAATATAATATGGTAATTTCCTTATAATTCAAGAAAATATTTAAATTGTATATAGATATTTCTTGAAGATGAAATTTCGATTGCTTATGAGTTATTCATATTAGATTAAAACATCGTTTGAAATTTAGTATATCAATTTTATCCACTCTTCAAATGGACGAGAAATGAATTATTTTTAAGACGTTATATACATTAAATTTACGCATTCTATATATTGCTATTTATTAAGATTTATTCCATTAAAAAATTCAATTATTCTAGCTATTTGGGATGATAAGTTTTGTTGAGTGTCAAAATGAAAATAGCTAATATAAGCTCTTCTATATATTGAAATGTTTTTTAGTGATATATACTGAAAGATTTTTATTTTATTAATCTTAGGTTGTTAACGTTTTTGATTAAAATAACATTTTGATTCGCAGCATTTGCAAATTTTACATTCTTATTTTCTATAAGAAATTCGTTGAAATTAGGTATCAAATTTTTGTAGCATTCACAAACTGTTGCTTTTAAACCTTTTATACTCTAGTAATAGTTTTAAACTTGTTTTACATATATTATTCTCAAGCAAAAAAATTGTAACTGTTAACCAAAAAATTATTTAGAAAACGCGTCATCACAGAAATCGTTTACTGAATTAAAATCGTTTTCCTTTTCTTCATTGTAAAAATGTCTTTTTAAAAGGAAATGCATCACATCACGACATATTGTTATGTAATTTTAACACATAGTTTGTAAATTATATAAAAATTTGATAGATGAGTGCAACGTATTTCTCAAAGAAAATGTGAATAGCAAGGAAAAGAGCCTCAATTTCAAAACTTTTAATGATAGAAATATCGAAAAATAATCCACACCACACATAATAAATTATTGCTCAAAGCATTTTGTAATATCGCGCTGTCCAAACAATAATTTCTCGGAGTGCCAGACTCTACCAAAAAAAAAAAAAAAAAAAATTTAAAAAAAATGCGTCTTTCTTTCACCGACACTTCGCGCGAACTCTTCACACATCACACACCTCTACACACATCTAGGAGCGTTACACACATTAAGTCATCGGTCGCATGACACATTTATTTAATACTATGTCATAAGCAAATCCCGGACCTCAAAGTTTTTTTAAAGCTTTTCGTACAAAAAAATAAGAAATTATTTCTACACCTAGTGTTTACGGTATTGAAATGAAATACTTTTTCTTACATTTTCTAATAATATTAGTTAAATGTAAAGTTTAAGAATTGGTAATGCATGGTTACTACTTGGCTCCTTTGCTGTTTCTAAAAATGCTCTAAATTTATTCCTGGAGTATAGTTGCTTTACCTAGTGGTAACTTTAGTGATGTAGGAAAGCAACGCATTTATCTGTAAAATATCTTACCAAAAATTTACTTTGCACATAAAATACAATTGTATCATGTTTAATAAGTTTGACCTGATATCTTCAGTAGTATCTAAATGCCCGTAACCTATTTTTTTGGGGAAAAAAACCAACTCCATCAACATATATCGTGTATATCCCATACTAAAGTTCACGTTTTGTATTTAGTCAGTTATTGACTTCGTCATTTTTGGCAGGATACCCAGGATATTTTTTATTTTTCTTGGTAATGATTTCATAAATTACTTATTTAAGAGATCATTTATTTATTAATCATTATTAAAATTAAATATGCCAAATTAAATTTTTTCTGAGAATAAAAAAAGGCATATTTAAAACTGTTTTAAATGTATTTCTTGCAGAAAATGTGAATATTGCTTTTTTAAATTAATGTAACAAAATAGAATTCGTTCTTGTGGAAATTGCAGGAATTCGTCTCATACAACAACGCCCCCTATAGTTCGTTGCGATAGCGAATTATCTACACAGAGACTTAAATCGTTTGCTTAATATTATGTCGAATTCTTTTTTTCTTCTTCAGAGATATACCAGGCTTTGAACTTTAGCTTTTAAACTAGGAAACAATTTATTTTTCCCATATAGTTTAATCGCGAACTTAGAAATGGGAAAAATATTGAACCTTTAGGAAAACATCAACCTTCTTAAGATAATACATGCTTTCATATAAGATAAAAGCATGAAATATTTCGGTCCTCAGTCGATATAGCATTTTACATTTTGCTAGAGATATTGATTCTGGTGAATGGGATTTGAAGATAATGGTCTCTCGGGGCGGCACGTGCTCACGTTCACGTATCACCTCATACGAGTTCTTTTCTGACATTATCCATCGGATATATCATTTTTGTCTAGGTTCTGAGATTGATCAAACTTTTTGCCACAAGTTTCTCGGAAATGGAAAAGAAAATCAAATTGATTTTAAAATTTTATAGGCTAAAAATCTACGGCCCACAACTTTCCGTGATCAAAAACTGATTTTTTTAAAAACTTACTAAGGATAACACTTTTCTGGATGAAATGTCGAATTTTTTCGACTATTGTTCACCTTCTTGATAAGAATAACCTTCTGAAAATGCTTTGAAAGAGTTCCAAAAAATGTCGTTAAATAACTTTGATCTTTCAGAACTACTTTCTGTTACTTTGAAAGTCAAAAATAATTATAATGATTATGTAATTAATCATGCAAATAAATTAATTTTCCTAAGTTTTATGTTTGTCAAAAATATCAGCTTTAAAATAAAAGAATAAGGTTACAATTTAAGATCAAATCAAATTCCTCCTAAGAATAAATCTTTCAGGTTGTTGCAAAATTCGTTCAACGTTTTGACTATAACAGAGCAAGACATAACTTTTCTTAAAGTGTGCATGCTTCCTTAATTGAAAAAATAATATTTTAAAATCTTTTTTTATCTACACTGTAGACTTAACTAGTTGTACAGTGTGCAAAATAAAAAACGGAGCATCTTTAATAACTTTTGATATGAATAATCGGATCTCCACGTTTTAGGACTCATTCTAAATAGTTCGAGGAGGTGACCTCAAATATGCTAATTAATTACACACAATATTTTAAGTTACCAAGTCAGACACTAAAACGTACTTTCTTTGAATAAACATACCTTTTTCTCGGCGGATTTGGGTTTCTGACTCCCAAAATATAGCTGGTAGCCGCAATCTGGGACAAATGGCCCCAATAGTTTGGTCAGGAGAGCTGTCCAAAGTTTCTGCTCCTTAATGTTAATTTTACTTTTTGCATATTTCGCCATATCTCGAAAATTTTTAAGCTAATTGAAAACTTTTTGCTCACAATTGTAAAATTCATTTATTCAAAATAATTGCATGCAGAAAATAATTTTTAATAAATATTTGTCTATCTTCTATGTTTTTGGGGTCAGAAATCCAAATCAGTCGAAAAAAGGTATGTCTATTCAGAGAAATTACATTTTTGCGTCTGATTTCGTAACTTAAAATATCGTCTGTACTAATTAATTATCATATTTGAGGTCTAGCCCTCGAACTACTAAGAATGAGTCCTGGAACCCGAAGATCCGATCATTAGTTCAAAAGTTATTTAGTGTGGACCTTTTTTTATTTTGAGCACTGTACATATATTTTGCAGATTTTTTAAAAAAGGTTTTATATGCATGCAGTTGTCGTAAGCGAAAAGAAGTCCTGGTCACTCCTTCCAGCAAGTCAAGAAATCCCATGTTTTCTAAAGTTAATTTTGACGTCCATACTTACTGATCAGATTGTTTAAAAATAGTTTACTATCATAAATGTACAGCGCTAGAGCGTTGGTCTCCTAACTTAAGTTAACCACATTTAAATAAAATTTGTAAAGTAGGCTAAAACAATATAAGGAATATATTGAAAATGACTAAAGGAGGTAAAACATACGTTATGAAAAATTTATAAAAAAAATTAGAATAAGATTATATGATATGGGCTACAAGAAATTTCTTAAAATAGTTATAAGAAATAGATATAGAAAATAATGTGTTATAAGAAATACCAACACTTTTTAGAGACATTACAATCTATTCCATTTTTTTCTTCTTTCCTAAATAATCAAAATTAAATAGAAAAAATCATCAAAAATAGAAAAAAAAAAGTATTTTTGCAAGAAAAAAAAAACATTTCTGGAATGTTTTCTACAGACATTTGGAAGCCCTCCTTTTCTTAATTGCATTTAAATAAGCAAAAGAAAGACATATTTATTTTATTTAGATTTAACGTTTCCTCCAGAACATGCAAAAAATAAATCATTTAATGCAAAAGTAAAACTTGTCAGTATAAAGAAGAAATTGCACAAGAAGAATCGTTCTAGAACAAATTGCATCAAGGCAATTGCTTTTATTTTACTGAGAGTCATTAATTGCAAATAGTTTTGTCGAAAGCCTTACCATTTCTTTACTATTTTGTAAAGATCCTCCTATTTTATTTTTAGTTCTTGCTCTCTAATGCTTGGTTGTATTATTCTCCCATCATTTCTGATTTTCTAAGATAAGAAAGTTTTAAAAGTTTCATCGTATAGCTAAAAGTTTTATTGTTTGATATCTTTAAAGATTATATGTTTTACAGAAAATTGTTTTGAGTTTGCTTTGTAAATCTCTGGTTAACCCTTTTCTGATATTGTCCCAATAGTTTTTCTGTATTTTTTTTGTAATTTCATAATAAAGGTTTTGCGAAGAATTTTGTAAGATAAAATTTTTACATTTTTAATTTCATTCTTTATTGGGTGCTCTTGAAGAAGTTAAGTGATTTTGCTTAACCATGCGATTTAAATCTGATTTAATTAGATGCCGACGTCACACTTGCGTGTCGAACTTGATTGGCTTCTGAATCGACAAATGCTATGATTTACCTACGAGGACGTCACTTGCAGTTGTCCAATTCTTAACACAACTTTGTGTTATAGATATTTTACTTAGGCGGAAGGATTTTCGTACAGCAACCACGAAACTTTACATTTCGAACTATT